AACTTGGACTCCTCACTCGGACCCTTGCAGAGCGGAATGACACGAGGCTGGCCAGACCGTGCAGGGGTCCTGCCTTCCTCCTGGTCCCCAGCAGCAGCACCTGGGTGCAGGAGGAGGATGCAGAGGCTGTCTTCAGGGGAGCTGGGCCATTTGACAGGTGGGAGGTATTTTCTTATGTCTAGGGATTAGGTCACTGCTGGGGGGCACCTACCTATTGGTGTGTGGCCTGATCTTCCAGACAGCTGCTCGGGGCCTTGTTCAGGGGTAGGAGCATCGGTGGAAATAGCCCAGTCAGGCACAGCCAGAGCAGACTTAAATGGTGGCATCCTTTCAGCTGGCAGTCAGGAGCCTGAGCTTTGAATCAGCTTTCTAATTTGAAAATTGATCTCTTTGCATTGGGTGGTGATTTCGTGCTAACAAAAGCCATCAGGAACACAATGCTGCCTGCCCTACCTTCATGGCACCACTCTGGATTCAAAACATCGAGCCAGAGATGGGGATTTTCCACTCCTGGGAGCCTTGGGTGGTTGTGCCACCCTGTTGTGGGTGACCCGGAGATATTCATAGAGCATTTCGAGTGCTCAGGAGCCACATATGACTGCTGACTAGGGAATCGGACAGCCTAGGATGATAGAACGTTTCCATGACTGTAAACATTGTATTAGACCGTGTTGCTATAGAATGGTCCGTATGTCTCAGATCAGGGTGGGGATCTACCACAGTGCGTGGAGAAAATTACTTGGAGAAGGGAGGCCCGGGCCCAGAGGTGGCCAGTCCCGAGAGGCCATACCTGTGTCACCTGTGTGTGGTTCTGCGTTCCTGCGCAGGGCCCTCGTCATGTCACAGGACCGCAGCAATGCTCAGAGCTGCCAGGACCAAAATAGCGTAGGCTGTTTTCGTGGCCTCTGGCTAGGGAGAGGTTGACATTCCGTTTTTCCCCATGGGCTGGTTCCTATGTGCTTTCTCCAGATGGTGTGCACCAGAGAGGTCTTGCGCTCTGGGAATGGTTTACAATATAAATAAGGTCCCCCATGGAGTTTTGGGAGGGCTCAGGAGGCAGCTCACCAGGATGTGGTTTTCAGAGCTGCCCCGGGGCTCCTCACAGCCAGCTGCCATCTTGGAAGCTTCTACCTCGTGCCCGGGTGCGGGGAGGTGCCCCTCACGCGGCTTTTCTGGGTGGTGCGTGTGTTCTCAGGCTGGGGCTTCCTGCCCTCTTTCCAAGTGTTGTCCCCCAACTCCTGGGACTCTTGGGACTGGCAGCCTGTATGAGAGGGGGAGATTAAGGGCAATGCGTGGGGGTGAGTACAAAGATTAAGGTCTGGGTACCGCCATCTCAGGGGAGGCGTGAGCTGAGGAGGGCTTACGATGAGTGACTTGGGGTCTGGGAATGCCAGCAGTTGGGGACAGGGCAGTTTCTATGTATCTGAGGGAAAAGGAGAAGTTAGTCTAGGAACTGAAATAGTCTATTAAATTTTGTCAGTGCCAAACAGAGAGTCTAGGAAGAAAAAAATTATATACCACAGATTGAATGGAGCAAAATTAGAGTTCCAGCCTTCCCTGGCAAGCCAAAGAGGCAGGAGCTCCGTGGCTCCAGTGCAGCAGATGGAAACAGAGGCAGGAGCTCCGTGGCTCCAGTGCAGCAGATGGAAACAGGCGCTTTCCACTTTTGCCTAAGAGGCGCCCCAAGGTTACTGCGGGGGCAGGTGGCGTCGTGGATGCTGTCACGTGGAGATCATAGTAAACAGAAAGAATGTTCTTGGGGTCAGAAATCCAGCCCCTTGTATCTCGAGGCCTGGAGAAGCCCAGGAGGAGGTGTGCACCTTGTCTGTCACCATGTACACGAGCACGTGTGTGCGTGCATGTGGAGTGTGAGAGAGAGGGCTGAGGAGGCAGTAGAGTCTAGCAGCTCACTGTGAGCCCTGTGCCTGCTGCAGCAACCCTCCGTCGCCCATTCTGTGACCTTTAGTGAGTCAGACACTCCTTTGTCTTCTTATGTGTTAAATGGAGACACGCATGCTTGCTGGGTGTTCAAGCAGTTCTCGTGCTTTGGGTGCCTTTATTAATTCAAATGCACTCTTTATATCTTTTCCTGCTGGATCTTGTGAGAAAGGTTAAGGTCCCAGCTTTACTGGAGTCTTCCTCACTTTAGGCTTGGGATCTACACAGCGAGTGCAGGGAGGACAGGGACGAGTTACGGGAGCGATGGGACGTCTCCTGGTGGGGAGTGTCACGTCCTCCTTGAGCCTGATGTTCTGGTTAATGCAGTTTATTCCTGGGACAGAGAACAGGAGGAAAGTGAAAGGAATAGATATGGTAAGGTGAGAGTCGGTGTCACATTGAGAATGTGGCTATGAATTGGGTATGGCAGAGAGGCAATTTCCCAGGCCTTGAGGAGTAGAGGCGGGGCTGTAATGCTACGGGGGCCAGATGGAGGTAGAGCAGGTGGCAACTGCTGTGGGACAGGAGGCAGCTGACCAGCTGGTCTCCAAGAGGACCTGAGGGGTCTTCTTGCGACCATGCAGGGGTGGTAGCTATGTGGCACGAGTGATGCCATTCCCTGCCCTTTGTGCCCGTGGCGGACAACACTAATCTTTCATCCTCAGAGTCCTTTAAGTATACAGCATTTTGGACAGTGATGTCAATCAATTGGCATAAAAGTTGAAACTTATTGTCTGTCACTGGTGTGATGGAAAGGATATAGACTGGAGTCCAACAGAAATGACAGCCCCACCAGGTCCAAGCTTTGGGCACCGACCAAGCATATTAGGTCGTTTTTTGGTTGCAAGGGACAGAGAGCCGTTTCACATTAGCTTTGGCTAAGTTAGTTAAGTCACTTAAACATCACGGTGGGTGGGGGAGGCTCAGCCAGCCTTGCAGTACAGCCCTAATGGACGTCAGCCCCAAGAGGCCACACCTGTCTCACCTGCGTGTGGCTCAGGGAAGGTCTAACTTCAGGTGTGGCTGGATGAGGAATCTGGTGAGGTTGCTGGGGCTCTGCCTCTGGGGCAGACTCTCTCTAGGTGAAAATGTTCACAGGGCTAAGCCGAGTCGTGTGCTCTTCACAGGTTCCTGTGGGGACGGGGTGGAGGGGGCGGTGATAGGTTCTAGAAAGCAGGTCACATGGGGAGCAAAGTTACCTTGGAGGTCAAACATAGAAGGATCAGTCTAAGATAAGAGTTGGGGAGGTGGCTGGGAGAGGCACCAAGTGTTCAGCTGTGTCTTAGTTACAGGTGAGGAGAGGGAGGGGATCAATCAGGTTGAGCCAGCAACCTTCGGACCCAGCGGCTTCCCCGGAAGACCTTGTGCACGTGAAACACAAAAGGTCACTGTGGGCGGCCTCGGAGGTGATGGATGTGCAACTGGTCTGGCTCCTCCGGCCACAGTCTCCCGGGCAGCTGAAGTGGCCTCAGATGCCAACCTCACCGCCCACAGTAGTACCTCTTCTCTGCGGCTTTTCTTGATCCCGAGGCACCTGGCCAGTTGACTAGCGGTACCATGTCTCAAGGTCACACCTGTGTTCTGGGAGATTCAGGTTTGGGCCAGGCTGAGCTGATTGCTTGGCAAACATTACAGATTCTAGAGCAAGGCGTCCAGCCTAACAGGCCAAAGAGTATTTGCCAAGCATATGTGCTGTCTTAGGGACAGTCTCAGAGGCTTCGTTGCCTAGACACCGGAGCAGGGCAGCTGTCCCTGTGCAGGCTGGAGCCCTGGGTTGCACTGGTTCCAATCAGGTTTCCTTCCTGACATTGTCCCTCTCCCCTACCCCATCAACCCCTGCCACTCACAGCTCCCTTTCCCAGATAGCAAATGCTGTCTAATGAATCACCCCAAAACAAAGTGGCTCACAACAGCAGACACCCTGTTATTGCTCAGTCTCTGTGGGTCAGGAATTCAGGAAGCTCTTGTGTGGGTCAGTAATTCAAAAAGTTACTGATTTGGGGCAGTCCTGACTTGGGGTCTCTCCTGGGGTGGCAGTCAGATGGTGACTGGGGCGGCTGGGGGCTGGCCAGGACACTCTCTTGCCACATGGCCTCTCTGTTGAGGCTAGTCTGGGCTTCCTCACAGCATGGCAGCTCAGGGCTGAATGGCTGCCTTGTGTGGGGGCTGGCTTCCTCCAGGGCAACCATCCGGAGACAGTCAGGGGGGTGCAATGTGGCATTTTTTTTTTAACCTATCCTTGGAAGTCACATGGTGTCACTTTTGCTGTACTTCATTGGTAAAACAGTCACCAAAGGCTGACCTTATTTCAAGAGGAGGGCCTAGATCTTTCTCAGTGAAAGGGATGTCAGATGTGAAGGGATTCATTGACATGATTTAAAACCATCACAGCTCTCCTAGCTCCTTCTGGTCAACCAACACTTAAAGCCCAGATGGCTTTGAGGTAGCTGGATGTGACCTTACTCTAGTGCAACCTTCTCACTTTATTATATTTATTTTTGTTTATTGGAACCCAGGTGCGGAGAGTTGAGTGAATCATACTCTAGTTCATTGTACCTTTTCATCATTGATTCATGCGATGACCTCTCACATTCACTCACTCATTCATTTATGCTTCCTCCTTGCCCCCATATCTTACTCTCATTTTCCTCCTCACTGTCCTTAAACAGTCATTCTATTCGAGTTCATGAATATCCTTTTGTTTGCATGAGTTCTTAAAATACGTATTTTAATTTGCAGGTAATGTGTTGTGTTTTATCTGTTTCTGCTGAGGTCCACACGTGCTGTCATGCACGGATCTCATCTGTTGCCCACCTAAGGTGAGGCAAGGAGACCAGAGCGGAGTGATGCGCCCAAGGTCACCCAGCTGAACCAGGACCGGAAGGATCCTGGCCCTGTTCCCTCAGCATCTCACACTCATGTTTCCATGTGCCACCTCCTAATCACCTGCAATAGCTTGAAATAAGGTTTTGGAAAAATTGTGAATCTGGGGTCCAGAGAGCGTCGGAAGTGCTCCCGTTTTCTGTCTGGTCACTGTTGTGTTCTTTTCTCTTTTGCCACAGGTTCCAACTATGGGAGCCCACGCCCCGCCCATGCCAACATGAATGCCAATGCGGCCGCGGGACTGGCCCCTGAGCACATCCCCACCCCGGGGGCCGCCCTGTCCTGGCAGGCGGCCATCGACGCAGCCCGGCAGGCGAAGCTGATGGGCAGCGCTGGCAACGCGACCATCTCCACGGTCAGCTCCACGCAGCGGAAGCGGCAGCAATATGGGAAACCCAAGAAGCAGGGCAGCACCACGGCCACACGCCCGCCCCGAGCCCTGCTCTGCCTGACCCTGAAGAACCCCATCCGGAGGGCCTGCATCAGCATTGTCGAATGGAAATATCCTTTGTTCGCTGGGCTGGGCATGCTCCTGGGACCTGCACCCTGGGGCCAGCCCTCCGAGGCTCCCTGGGTCACGGGCTGTGTCAGCAGTGCTGGGCTACAAACAGGGCCTTGGGCCTACTGCATCTGCATCACTGGGGTGCCGTGAAATGCAGAGTTCTGGGCCCTGCCCTAGACTTGATGAATCAGAATCTCTGGGGACAAGGCCCAGCAATCTGCTTGTATAATAAGCTACCTGGGTTGTTTTTTTTTTTTTTTCATATAATAAGCAACATTTGAGAAAATGAGCCTAAGAAGTTATGAAATATCATCTCCTGTGGCTGAGCTTGCCCAGGGGCCCACTCATGCTTTGGGGTAACAGTCGTTAGTTACATGCTGCCTCATTCCCTTCTCTCCCCTCTGTGCCATGGCACTGGATGGTTTCATGGCCTTCCCTCTCTCTAGGGTGAAGGGGCTCAGGAGATGCAAGAGCGTGGTGGTCAGGACCCCTGGCTCTTGGCTCAAGGGCCCCGAAGCAGTGGTTCTCAGCCTTGACTGCACATTAGAATCTCCTGGAAAGTTCTAACAAGCTACAGACCACTCAGTTCCACGCAGGCATAAAAACAAACAAAAAACAACCACAGAAAACCCTCTGGGTAACTCTCATGTGCAGACGAAGTTGAGAACACTGTCTGGAAGTGCTCTGTTTGTCCATATAGAAACAGGTGAGTGGGTCCCTCAGAGACAGGGGCTTTGAAGGGCTGGGCTGTCACTGGGGAGTTCCAAGCGCCTTACTTCATCAGGATCCTGGGGCTGTAGCAATTGGAGAGGAACTTTAAGCGGTGAAGTTCCACCCCCACTTCCACCAGTGATGAAACCGAGCCCCCCAGGAGCAGCTCTCTGAGGTCCTGTGGTCAGGAACAGATGGGACTAGAACCCTGGTACTGACTGTGGGAATTTTCTTAGTAAGAATTCATCCAGGCAGGACTGCTGTGTCTCTCAAGGGCCAGGGTGGGAGCATTAGGCTTCATCAATGAGTTTCTATGGAAAGATTTAAAAGTCTCAGGTACTGGTTGAAAGAAGATAGCCCAGAGATAAAAGAAAGTTTCTGTGGAGACAGAAATGTTAGTTCTATAGATGTTTGAAGCCAGGTGCTGTGGCTCACGCCTGTAATCCCAGCACTTTGAGGGGCCAAGGCAGGTGGATCACCTGAGGTCAGGAGTTCAAGACCAGCCTGGCCAACATGGTGAAACCTAGTCTCTGCTAATAATACAAAAATTAGCCAGGCATGAGGGCACATGCCAGTAATCCCAGCTACTCGGGAGGCTGAGGCAAGAGACTTGCTTGAACTCGGGATGAAGAGGTTGCAGTGAGCTGAGATCATGCCACTGCACTCCAGCCTGTTTATCAGAGTGAAATCTGTCTCAAATAAATAATAATAAATAAATGTTTGAGCCCCTCAACTTAAAAGTATTCTAAGAAAATGCATTTTAAAACAAGTGGCTGCAGCTGCCTGGCTGGCCTGCCTGAGTGGCTGGGCCTGGTTTTAGTCCCCAGGGGACTGTGTGGGAGGCTTGGTCTTGGTCAGCCCCATAGGACTGCTTGCATAGCTGCTCATGGTGGAGTCAGGGAGTGGGAAAACTGAGGGCCCTGCAGCTCAGGCACCCCTGACAGAAGCGCAGCAAGGCCCAGAGAAGCCAAAGGACTTGCCCTAAATCACGCAGCTGGCGACTGACAGAGCTGGGTTTCAAATCCGGGTTCCCCTAACCCCAGAGTCCATGTATGTCCTACACCCTATGCATCCATAGTACTAGGTAGGACTAGGCAGGTACTAGTAGATACTAGGTAGGACCAGTTAGGTACTTGGGAGGATGTTCGAGAGCTGCAGTCCAGGTGCACTGGGACATGCTGGACCTGGATCTGGGCCTAAAACCTACTCCCTGGGTGCTGTGGCCACTCCTCTGGGGGAATGTGCCTTCCCACCTGGAGGAGAGGAAGGGGGCCCAGCCTTAGCAGTGCCAGGTGGGTGGCATTCCAAGATTGCTTGGGAAGAGTGGCTGGACAGGGAAGGAGAGAGCCTGGAGTACTAGCCAGCCAGTTCTTGAAAAAGTGGCATCTGACACTGTCATTAGGAAGGAAAAGCAGTTTAAAAAGTCATCTGGGCCTCAAAAAGTGACACAGAGCCCTTCCCAGGGCGTACCTGGGTTCTCTGCTTTTTAGCCGATGGCTTTTCTTCTCTGCCTGATTGGTTTTTACACATGATCTTCTCTGGCATTAGCCCAGTGCCTTTAGCATAAAGTGAAGGATGGAGAGATGGATAGTCTGAATGAGGGGAGGGGAACTGATAGTGCCAGAAAACCCCAAGCTCAGCTGTCCCCCACTGTGGTGGAGGCAGTGAGATGACATTTTCTGGGTGTGTGTGCACGGGTCTGGCTTGGCTGGGTTGTTGCGTCCTTGTCCCGATGGGGACAGCACAGGCACCAGCTGATGGAAATGAAATTGGCCAGCCTGTGGGCTCAGTGTCACTTTCCTAAGCAGGCGAGAAAAGGTTTGGGAGGCAAGAGGTGGTGCGGCAGGAGGGCTAGAAGAACTGCCTACGAAGCCTTCAAGGTAACTTTAGAGTGGATCAGTATAGAGTAGTCCTTACCACTGAGACTGCCTGAGCTTGGATCCCATCCTACTACTTGTTCTGTGACCTGGCACAAGTTAACATCTGACCCTTCTGTGCCTCAGTTTTCTCATTTAGAAAGTGGGGATCACAAGCATACATTCCACACAGGACGTTTCCATAGGGGCGTAAGAATGTGCCTGGCACTGAGCAAGCTCTTGGCAGAGGTCAGCTTCTGTCCTTACTGTCACCGGCACCAGCATCAGCGTCTGTCTCCCATCATCACCACTTGTGCCTCATCCAGCACAAGGACAGCAGAATGTAAAAGCTTAGTCAGTCGGTCTGGGTTCCGGTCCAGGTTCTGCTACGTGCCAGCTCGGGGTCTTGGACTGACCGCTTTACTTTTCACACCTGCAAAGTTGGGAGATTGACGGGTCCACTGTGTGGCATCTTTTTTGATATCAAGGTGGACACAGAAAATGTTCTACAGGAAAATGGATCCTCACAAGTACCCACAGGGCTAGGGAGGCCAGTGCTAAGATAATCATCCAGGTTCCTCCCAGTTCGCAATTCTGTGACACTGGCCCAGGGTTGCCCGTGAACACGTCAGAAGGCCGTCTGTGGCAGGGGAGTGAACACTGGACTTGGTGATCGGGAAATCTGGGCTCTAGTCTCAGCTGGTCACTAACCTGCTGTGGGGCCTTGGAAAGTTTCTCAGGCTCTCTGGGCCTCAGAGGGTCAGACTAGATAATCTCTAAGGTCTCTTTTCTACCTCAGTATTCACTAACTTTGTGAGTATGGATTTCCCTGAGAGAATTAGGGTGGTCCCCTCAGCCCAGACCTCCACCCCTCTCTGTCTTCCTCCTCCTGTGAGACTCCATGAACTGGGCTGCAAACTGGGCAATGGGAGCGGAGTAGGTGGGAGTGGAGCTGGAAGAGCATAGACGGGCCCTTCCATGGAGGGTGTGGGGTGGTCCCATTGGAAGGGGTGTTATCACATTAGCTGATTTTTCTCTTGAGAGCGTATCCTTCCCTGAAAATGTGATGAAGAAGTCAGGGCGTGGGAACCTCTGCCTACACTGCTCCTGGTGAGGGAACCTCGGACTGTCCCGCTAGAGCCCAGCACACACCAAGGAAAAATCAGGAGGCCTTGAAATTAAAGCTTTGCCTGCTGAAGCGGGACCTCCGCAGACCAAAGGGGTTTCTATGCTGTCTGTGAGACTCATCCTTAAAGAGGAGATGCCTTCCTTCCCTGTACTCACTCAGGATGGACACCCTGCCGTGCTCTTGGGGGTCTTCAGGATCTCCGGATCCTGTCAGAGAATGAGAGAGAAGAAATGGAAACCACTCTTAACTTTAGTTTAAAAGATTAAAAATAAAATCTCCAAATGTCAATGAAACCCAGGGGTAGTCTCTCTGTCTTAGAATCCCGTTCCACCCGTGTCCCCCGTTCCAGGTGGGCATGGGCCCACAGGCAGCTCGGCGTAAGCCGTGAAGAAACGGGGTGCTTGGCACAGGCCATGCTCTTTAGAGGCAACCCTAGGCACACATGGGGAAGAATGGAGACCAGTGCAATCCAAATAAATAAAAGGAGGGGAGAAAAGTTTTTAGAACTCTGTGTTTACTCTGGCACGCGACTGGCCTCCACTGCTTTTGACATATTAGGGAAAATGTTGGCGGGGACCCACTAGCCGTACTTAAAAAGGCATATGTTTCTTTTCAGAATACAAGGGGCTTGGAATGCATTGTTTAAACAAAATTCTTACGAATCTTTGATTCATTTGAAAAAGTACGTAGATGTATGTTTGTTTCACTTGTACTTTCCGTGGCATTAACTTCCTTAACTCCCTTTCTCAGACCATTTGAAATAATTATTTTACTGACTATTTTTGCCAATTGTGTGGCCTTAGCGATCTATATTCCCTTTCCAGAAGATGATTCCAACGCCACTAATTCCAACCTGGTAAGTCCACCGTCTTCAAGTCTCTGCTTTTTCACTCGATGGAGAACTGCGTTCAGATCACATAGATTCATGAAATGTGGGAGAGAAGTGAGACATGTGTTTGGCATGTGCAGAAGGCCTGCAGAGCTCACATCCCGCGCGCTATTTTGCTCTTTATTCAAATCAGCACCTGTCTCATCCCGGCCTGTTTTCCAAAAGAATATTCCAGTTAGGTGGTGGTGAGCTCTGTGTGTGTGTGTGTGCGCGCGCATGTTTAGTAGCAAATCCCGTGACTGCTACAAAATGTGCTGCAAAAGTTGTGAGTGCAGGTGTTTGGTGCAGCAAACACCTATTCTTGGGTTGTGTCTTGTATTTACTTTGAATGTCTTTGTTCCATTGGTGGGGTTTGCTCAGGTGATCTGGAGTGTTGCTGTTCAATAAATAATTTCTAGGAAGCTTTCAGGAACGTTTGCTTTTGCAGCCAAGATGTATTATTGAGTTAGAAAGGCTTTCTTTTATTAGGAAAGGCAGCTTTCCATTTGGATTGTTGAGGGGCCAGCTCTGGCAATTTGGGGTTAGAATTGTTCCATGGAAAAAGTGGAGAGTGTGTTTACTTTTGGCTGAGCTCGAAGTCATTACAAAGACTTTTGCTGCATCTGGGCATGTGCGGAAAAGAGCTCTGGAATGCAGTTGGCAAAATTGGGGCACTCCAGGGTGCCTCTACGAAAGGCACACAGGGAACATCCTGTCTCTTTCTCCCCCTCCATTGCAGAGACACCATCACTCTTCATGTGATTTCCACATGGCGTGTTTGGTCATCAGAGCCACCATCTTTCCCCTGCCGTGAGCACCTTCCTTTAATTACTGAGATGGGACCATCCAATGAGATGGTTTTCAAAAGAAGCAGGCAGCTTATAGGATTCTCCTTTCCACAACTGCTGGGCTGATGCCATCACACGGTTGTTCTTGTGTTTTGTAACCTTCGACATTTCCTTGGGCCCTTTCAGCAAAAACAATCTGATGCACGTTTTAACTTCTCTGCTGTCACCCCAGTTTTTTCAGGTAGCCGCTGATGCATAGCAGGTAAGGTGTTCGCCGCCTGTGGGCTGTGGTGTCTTGTGGCTTGGCTTGGGGCCCTTTGTTGGGGACAGGCTCCAAAAATGTCAAAGCTGGGCACGGCACTGAGTGATGACATGGCCGGAGTCGGAAGGCAGAGCATCGGCCGCCGTCCATGAGGCCATCTGAAGCGTGACCTTGTCTCTTAAGGGGCAAGAAATCTTCACTGTGTCAAAATAAATACAAGCCAAAGTGTCTCCCTGAAGCAGGAGCTCCTTCCCTTGGTTCTGTTTCTTCCCTGTGCAGCCACCTCCTTCCCCTGCCATGGTCCTCCCAACCCTCCCACAGTTTAACATTTAATCTGCAATTTTTAAAGAGGAGCCTTGGTTCCAAAGAGAATCCATATCTTGTTCTTAAGCTGATGACGCTTTGGGCTGCCCAAGGCCCAAGCAGTGGTGAAAGTGGGTAGAGGACTTTGGTTTTTCTTAGGTCCTAGAGATGGCCACATGTAGCCCCTTCACCCCTCGGTTCCCGGGAGGTTTAAGGGAGCCGCTTGAGTTGCTGAGCTAGAGGGAAGCCCTGGGCTGGCTGAGACCCCTCAACCTTGGACCTCCTGGAGGCAGAGGGGCTCGTAGGAGAGGACAAGAGGTCACCCTGGACTTATTCTGCAGCTGGAGTGAGGTTGCTGGGTACAGATGATGCGGGAGGGATGGCGGGTTTTTATCACACTGCAGAGTGATGGCAGTATTCTACACGAGATGGTGGGGCTGCTTGCACGACTGTGTAACTTTACCAAACATCATCGAATTGCGCACTTACAATGGCTGAATTTTATGGTATGGCAATGATACCTCAGTAAAGCTGTGGATGACTCCTCATTCTCTGCGTTCCACAGTCATAGGGTCACACTTTCCCTGGGGCAGTGAATGCAGCCAGCTGAAGGGGGAGGAAGGGGGGGATCGGTGGGGGGAGCATCAGAAAACCCCTAAAACAGACAAATAAACACTACCTCACATCAGCTAATAAATCAGAACATGATTCAGCCCCGTGGAGAAACCCATTGCGAGTGCTGTGACCTCGCCTCCTGGTCCTTGCTCTCTATAGCATCTTCAAGCTGCAGCATCTCTGCAGATGCCCCGTTTTCAAAACACATTCTCCCCTTGCTTCTTCCAGCCTCTCTCCCTGTGTCTGCACGAACGTTTACTAGGCTTCTGTCCTGAGCCCTCTGATTTTCTTCTGCACTCTCCCCTTGGGGAGCTCCTCTGTGTCCACAGATTTAAGTTCCCTTTCCCGGTAAATTGTTGCTAAGACTGACATCTCCAGTGCTAAGCCTTTCCAAAGGCCTGGCCCAGTATTTCCTGCATTGGAGAGGCCTGTGGACAGGTGCAGCGACCCCAAAGCCTGTACATCATTACAACCCCAGAGATCTCCAACTGTGCATGGTCTGGGGATGCGCATTAAAAAGAATTCCTCATAGGGATGCCAGTGATTAGTCAACTTCGGGAAGAACTGGCCTCTTGGGCAGAGCAAAATTTGACTTGGACAGACCTGACTTCAAATCTTGGCTTCTCCACTTTAAGATTAAGTCTGGGCTGGGCATAGCGGCTCATGCCTGCAACCCCAGCACTTTGGGAAGTCGAGGCAGGTGGATCACAAGGTCAGGAGATTGAGACCATCCTGGCTAACATGGTAAAACCCCGTCTCTACTAAAAATACAAAAACAAAATTAGCCTGGCATGGTGGTGGGCACCTGTAGTCCCAGTTACTCGGGAGGCTGAGGCAGGAGAATGGTGTGAACCCGGGAGGCGGAGCTTGCAGTGAGCCGAGATCACGCCACTGCACTCCAGCCTGGGCGACAGAGCGAGATTCCATCTCAAAAAAAAAAATTAAATGTGAATCTTAATCTGAGGTTATTTAATCTTTCCAAACCTCTTTTCCCCAGCTTGTAAAATAGAAGTGACCTCAGAGGGTCCTAGGGAAGAGTAGGGTTGGCAGTGATAATTATATATGCCAGGATGTCTTACTGATACCTCAAACAAGCCCCAAATAGAACTCATTCTCTCTCCCGCCACATGACCTGTCCCGCTGAAGAAAATAAAACATAGCCCAGGTGAATGCTGCTCCTTTTCTTTTCCCTTGGCCGGGTTGATGGCATTGCTGGCCTTGCTGTCACACAGAAGCATCTCTGACATCATCTTCCCCTTGCTGTGCCCATCTGAGCAGGAATCCAGTCTTGGAGATTGTAATTTGCAATGTATCACACTTAGCCTTCTTTCTATTCTCAAAGTCATTTGTTTAGACTTCGTGTGCCTTAGTTTCTTCATTGATGGAATGGAAATAACAGTAATGACAGTACCTACCTCAGAGGGTTGTTGTGAAGATTAAATGAGTCCAAATATGTAAAGCCCTTAGGAGAGCGCCTTAGTAAGGGCTCAGTGTTGGCTCTTGTTCATAGTGCTGGATACTATTGTTATTATTGTCATTGTCGTCATCCTTGTCACCCTAACCCAGGCCCTGTTGCCTTTTTCCTGGACTCTTACAGTCGCCTCCTTCCTGCTGTCCTCCCTCTGGTCTCTCCTTCCACTGGTCTAGCTCGTGTGTGTGTGTGTAGTCATTTGCCAAACATCTATACCAACAGACAGACACTGCGATTAATAGGGAAGATAAACCTGTAAACATGTTTCAAATGGTGAAGGGTCTTATACGGGGCCAAGGTGTCAAGGTGGAAGAACTGATTCATTTTGCTGTAGAGAAAGGATTAATGGCAAGTTTCACATAGGTTGACATATTTGCATTGCGTCTCTCAAGAAGAGGATGCCATAGAGGTACTTCAGGCTGAAGTATACTCATGTGCAAAGGCCCTGTGGTCACATTCTTTAGGACCAGAGGAAGGGGTGCTGGTTTTGAGGGAATGGGAAAAGCCGGGTGATGGAGGCTTGATGGCCCATGCAGACTGCTGGACTTAACTGCAGGTGAGGAGGAGGCTTGAAGGCTTTACTGGCAGAGGAGTTGCAGCATGAGGAAGATGGCTCAGACGGAGGCCTCACTGTGAAGAGAAAAAGAAAGCTTGCCAGAGTCCAGATGATGGTGACAATAAGGATAGAGAGGGGGCAGTGGATTTAGGAGGCAAGCTTGCCTGGACAAGTAACCAGATGGATATCATGGGCGGAAGAGAGAGCTGGCTCCCAGGATGGTGATATGAGGAGCCAGGTGCCCTTGGCCAGGAGAAAGACTTCAGGAGGAAGGTCATATTTGAGGGGCAGGGAATGACGCATACGATTGATGATTGTCAGGTGGAGGAGCCCGTGGAGCATGAGGTTGGAGATGTCCCACGGGCTGTCGACAGGGGCCTGCAGCCCAGGAGACTGTTTATGCTGAGGATGGAGACTTGGGGGCAACAGGAGGAGAGACACAAGGAGAAGCTGTAGGTATGGCCTAGAGCACCTGCATCAGGGTGGAGCAGGAGGGTAGCAGTGACCACAGCTGGACCCCGGAGAACAGTGACGTTTGCAGAGGATGGAGGAAGAGGAGCAAAGGAAGGACGTACACCACGTGTCAGGAAGGCTTAGCCCGAGAGGTAGGAGGGGAACCTACTGAGAGTGGAGTCTTAGAAGCTAAGGAAACAGAGAGTTTAAGATATCCAAGAGGGGCTGGTTGGTAGTTCAGAAGCGTGGCTCATGGCAACTCAAGGCCAATGACAAGAGCATTGGACTGACTGTGAGAAGAGCTGAGCTTAGGGCCGAAACTAAGAGAAGAGGATATTGATCTGTGTCTGTACGCCTATGGAGGCCCTGAAGTACTAGGTGCATGACAACGGTTTGCTGAGGTTCAATGCTTGGAACATTCCCATTGTTGTGCCAGAGTGGGATGCCCCAAATCGTTTATGTACCCCAAAAATGAAGCTTGCGAAATCCTCCATTGGTTTCATAGCTTTTTAAAAAAAAACAGTAAAGAACTGCTATTTC